CTCCAGTCCTACACACGTGCCGGTGGAGAAAGCTAAAGTGGGTCACAGGGAGGGTCCTGGTTCCCACCCCGAGCATCTATTTGTCTGAGTCAAGCCAAAGAATGAGGTCTCCCTGCTAGCCAAGGCGTTGCCACCTCGCCCTTACCTTCTTTCGCTGCTTGTGAGAGGAATCGTGCAAGTTGGAGAGGCAGCCGGCGCCCAGGATGGTGCGCACCGACGCAGGCCACTGCACTGCCACCAGCCGGTGCTCACCCAGCAGGATGCGCCGCACATTATCCGCGCCCATCACCCGCACCGTGGGCCGCCCAAACAGATGCGTCTTGTAGATGAAGCCGTATTTCCTGCGCTTCATCTGCAGAAACTTCCTCCGCTGAGAGGGAGGTGGAGAAGAGAGACCCGCAACCCGCGTGAGGGGGCGCCGGGGAGCATCTGGCCTCCGTCTAGCCCCTCTTCTAGCTGTAGTCGCCTCCCTCGCGAGGACACTTAGCCCAGCTTCAGCCCAGGCCCTGAGCTGAGGCGGACTCCCGGGAAGAGTCAGGTCCCTTCCCGAGCTCCCTTACCTGCAGCACCATCTGCAATGTTTCCCCAAAGAATGGGAAGCCCATGGTCCCTGGGGGCAAAGGGAGGGCGCAGCTGCGGTCGCGGCTGCTCACACAGTACAGGTACCAGAGCTTGGTGGCTGCCAGGAAGAGCAGCAGCGGCAGCACGAAGGTGCAGAGAGCACTGGCCAGCAGCGCCGGGAGCCCCATGGCATGCAGCAGCCTCCGCGCCACCTGCCGCCGCCGCCCTCGCTCCGAACCCCGCCGCGCGCCCTCTTTATAGGCCGCCCAGGTTACTGCCCACGTTACCTTGGTCAGACAAATTAGTTCACCCAAAGTTCATCTTTAATTGCGGATCGGGCCCCTAGCTCCTCCCCCCGCGAGGCGCTGCCCAAAATCTTTAACCGTTTGTTCCGCGCCCAGGCAGAGGCGGCGCACTGGCGGCTTCCCTCGGAGCGCGCCTCCTGGGGTGCGCGGCTAGCAACACTACCTCCCCTATCCCGGGTGTGCGGAGCTCCGAGTCAGCAGGGAGCGGTTGGGGGCGCGCGGGGGATTGTGGATTGGGGTTCCCGGAAGCGGGAATTCAGAGTCCTGGGCTTCCTAGGTGTCTCTCGGTTGTCCCTCCCGCCGGGTCCTATTGAGCTGCCACAGCCCAAAGCCACCTTCCTGGCTTTCCATTCACAGGCGCCCCACAGGCTTGGAAAGCGCCTTCAGGAATCGCCATTCAGTGGACTCGACCCACAGGTTAGATACATGAAATCCCAATCGTTTCTTTATCTGTGAGGATCCCAAGAAGATCTAAGGGTTAGGGTCCAAGCCAGAGAGTCTCGGAGGTCAAGTATGAGTTCGCGCATGAAGTCTTGGAAAGTCCTGCTTTAGGATTCAATGCAAGTAAGCCTTCAGGTCTCTGGGACCCTAGGTGCAGCCTTGCACAAGCCCGATTCCCCTGCTCTGAAGCCCAGTGGTGTATTGAAGACACCAGTGGCTCCAAAGTCAACGCCCAGCTGTGGTAATGCTGCCAAACTAGCCTAATTCCTATGACCCTGGGGCTTGCAACCCCAGCCAGGCAGTCAGGAAGAGGGTCCCCAGGTAAATATGGGGAGGAAGACTTTAGAAAGAGGAAACCCAAGAGTCCCGTTCCACCTCGGATTGCCTGACTCTGGGCGAGCTACCAGGTTTCCTCCTGTCTGTGTCCCTTCCTTGAAGTGTTTCCACTTTGTCTACACCTCAAGGCAGTTGCGAGGTCTCAAAGGGAGCCTCTACTTCCAAACGGCTCGGTAGGCTGCATTAATAGAATGGTAGGGCTTCAAGGTTCTAGAACTTTCCTCCAGTCTCCCAGGTCCCACCCAATGCAAAGCCACAGACCCTTGTAAGAAAGAGGGTTGTTTGGCCCTATGCTCCTGCCCCCAGCCAGCCTCTGGGAACGTTGTGGGAATCTGTACTGGGAAGCGAATTCTAGAGATTGTGTCCAACTTCAGTCTGCAGCCCCTGCAGCCAATATGGAGATCAGGGGAACTGCGTGGTACACACACACATACACACACACACACACACACACACACACACACACACACACTGGGCTTCCCATGACCTCCAGTCACATCGCTTCAGCCAGTGCCATACACTATCTTGGTTTGGGCACTGAACTCACCAGCGGCGCGGAAAACAAACAGAATGACGTGTGTTTGTTTAGAACGGAACATGGGCTCTAGCAAAAGCACACCCGCACCCCTTGGGAAGAGTCTCTTGAAGATGAAAAACTTGCTTTCTGAAAAGCTCATCAATATATGATCCCCAAACGACACCCGCCTTCCCTCCACCCCAGCCCCGGAGGGAAGGAGTCACAAAATACGTGCAAAGGTCGTGAGGACCCTCACAAACCTACGGACTCTCTAAACCGGGATGCCCACGGGATTCAGAGGCTCTGGGGAGGCGGGCGCTGCCTCTGTCATGTCTTATAATGATTTGGTTTTGGTTACTGTAAGGACTGCAAAGCAGCTCCTGCACCGGCAGGAACGCGGACGGACTGTGCTGGAGGTAATTCTCAGAAATCTCGGCCCGCCCCTTTCAAATGGAGAGCGCCTCCGGCCGGTGTGCGAAATCGGCCAGCGGGGGCGTGACCTGGGGCCCATTCCCAATCCTTTAGCCTGACCCGCCTGTGACCCCTGCAGGCCGGACCGTGACATCCCAGTGAACTCTGCCGGGCCACCCTACCAAGTTCAGCAGCGCACACATGCCCGCTGGGTCACAAGATGAGTCCGGCTAGCGCGCTGTAAATGGCCACAGGGAAAAAGAGAGTACTTAAAAAATAAATTTAAAAAATCTAACTGTTCATTAAGATCCGCGGGGCGCCTGGAAGGAAAACATTAAATTGTAGAATGCAATATCCTTTAAAAACGTTGATCTAGAAACTTCACCAAACTTTATTGGGTGGTAGAGGGTGGGGAAGGGGAGGTTGGCTGGCTGAGAAACAAAATGTTTGCCAAACAGTTTTCTTATTGCTAAGGGTTGAGAGCCGTGGGGTCAGTTTTGTGTCGGTTGGGTTGTTTCTGCTCTTTTGTGTCTGCTGGAGTAAAAGGTGGCAGAAATCAGATGACCAGCTCAAGCTCCTGAGCTTTCCCTTCAGCCCCCCCCCCCCTTAGCTCTCTGGTCTCAGGCGTCCATACCTGCTGCTGTTCCCAATGCTGGCTGAGGACCGAAGCCAAAGTGGACTGATCCCTGCCAATGCTGCCTCAGACGGGTTCCCTTGCCCAACAGCCCGAATTTAAATGGACTCTGTGTTAAAGGCCTGCTTTGTTTTTGTTTGGGGTTTGGGTTTTGTTGTTGTTGTTAGTTTCTCTATGCTTTTCACCACTGGGCATTGTTGGGGTTTTGTTTGTTTTGCTTTTGTTTTGCTGGTTTATTCATTGTCTGCCTCTTTCTGTGAACATTAGAAGTCCAAGGGACAAGAACTACATCTGCTCTTTCCCTAAGAACTTGCAGTTGCTAAATCGGGAGCCTACATGTTCCTCAATAATATGATGCAACAATGGGAAATGAGAGAAAAATTGGAGTCACTTCCACGTGCTTAGAGCTGGTCCAGACCCCACAGCAAGTACACAAGTCTCTTTGAACCAGTTTGTCCTGGTTTCCGAAAGGCATCCCCACTATTTCTTTTCTCCCCAGACCAGAGGCAGCATCGAAGCAGGGTCTTTTGGCCTCCTCATCCAGATCCAGATTTCTCAGATTCCCATGGTAGGCCTGCACCATAACACCTTTGCTCCCCCTGGTGCCTGCAGAGCTCAGGACCTGGTCTTTCCTCTGACCAGCTATGGGTGATTAACTGTCCTGTGTCAGGGTTATGGTGGTGTGAATCCCAGCAGCTGCTCACCTCCAAGTACCTACTGATGTCCCCCTTGCCTTCAGGCCCCAGGATTCACTTTAAGCATACGGTCAGGAGGCCACCAGTTTCCTCCTGATTCACAACAGGGTCAGCCCAGACCAGGTTACAGCTTCCTGGACTCACCAGTTATGTCTCCTTACCCAGGAGTGTGGGAATGTGGGTGGCAGGTTGAAGTGGGCTTTGGGGAATGATGGCAGGATGATCATGACTTTGATTTAAACAGTGGTGGGAATCTCGGGATTGGGAAGGCCAGACAGTCCTTAAGACAGCCTAGGGATGTGTACAGTAAAAGCAAAAGGCCTGGGTCCCACAGATGGCACTGGCATGGGGAGGGAGCACTGAGTGATGGACCGCAGCGGCTCCTCAGGAGAGTCACTCAGTTCTTTAATCCTCAGTTTCCCCGTGACAATAGTGAGGCAGCCAGGAGAGCAATTCTGCAAGCTGGTGTTGCAGAGACAATCCAAAACCCGGCATCCAGATCCGCGGTCCAGAGGGAAGCATGGGCTCCATGCTTTCAGACCCTCTGGGCACAGGCTACAGTGGGTTCTTCAGGTGTGTCTCTGTATTCCACCCCTCTCCACCCTTAGCTGTAACACCAGGGGGCAGCTGGTCAACTGAGCCCCAGCCTCCTTACTCAACCCTGGCAGGAAATGTTATTTCTTGGCCTTCCTGTTTTGGCACAGATATCGCAAATCTCTTGTGTATCCCTTGTAGAAATTTTGTCTCAACCTCGAATGGACCAGACTTAAGAGACATCTCCAGAGAACATACTCTCTTCTGCATAAATGAGGGTATTAATGAATTACTGAAGTAGGGATTTCTCTTTTCAAAAGTCTCTAGCAGAGCTTTGGGAGCCCATTCCAAATAGAGGGACAACCTGGACACATGGGGAAGGGCCTAGGTTCTGCCCAGGATGAGATGACAGACTTTAGAGATCCCCCCCCAAGGAGGGTCTCACCCTCCCTGGGGAATGATGTGGGGATTGGGTGGGGGGCTGGGGGACTGGTGGAGGGACAAGGGAGGAAGGGTGGGAGAGGGAGCTGGGACTGACATGTGAAACATTCACGCTTCTAATTTAAATAAAAACATATATTGAGAAAAAAAGTCTCTAGCAGAATCTGCTGATGTTGAGCCAGTTGGAGCCTTGGAAGCAGCACCCGCTGTACCTGGGTACTTAATTTCTTCCAAGGCTCAATAAGCCTGAGAGTTGCTGAGAGCCCTCTGCTGTGCCTTTTGGCCAGCGTCGCAGACTCATCCCGGTATCCGCTAACTTAAAAAAAAAAAAAGTTACAAATCCTCCTCTGGTTTGATAGTACACCCAATCACCACCGCCACACAGCCAGGACCCCATATCCAAGTTCCCTGCGGGACTTGAAGGTGAAGCCAGGTTTCATCTAGTGGAGATAGATTCTTTCCACCGCTGACTCCTTCAGATCTTGCCAAGTGCCTGCGGTGTGGTGTGGAGCGCGCCTCCCTCACTCAGCGAATCTCCAATGTGGGGCCTGTGGTTTAGTCTACTAGTCCTTCCAGTCTAGCACAGAATCGTCCCGTGAGCATCTGTTAAACCCACGACTCCGTGAATGTGCGTGAGATGAGGGCCTAGGGCGCTAAAGATGGACCGCACAGAGGCGCGCAGCAGCCACTGGGCAAGCCAAGGCTAGAAGGAGCAGCGAGTCAGAGGTGTAACCCATCCCCCGCACCCAAAGTCTCCAGAGGATGAAAAAAGAGTCGCAGCCCGTCCACTGGGTGCAGGATGGGCACCGTCTGCATGACCGGGAAGGCAGGTGTAGCCAGTTCCCAGCGCGCTGTGCGCACCAGTTCCACGGCGAGCAGTTTCAGCATCACCCGTGCTAGCTTCTGGCCCAGGCAGCTGCGCGCGCCGCCGCCGAATGGGATGTAATGGAAGCAGGAGCCCCGCGCGTCCTCACTCTCCACGCCAAAGCGCTCGGGATCGAAGCCCTCGGGCGGGCTACGGTACACAGCAGCTGTCTCGTGTGTGTCTCGGATGCTATACATCACGCTCCAGCCTTTGGGGATCTGGTAGCCCTGAGAAGTGAGGGGGCCATCTTGATCGCTAAGCACCGGGAAATGGCCAGAGCCAATTCCCCACCCATCCCCCGCACCCAGAAGCGCCAAATAAACCTCCAGGGGCTTGTGATTAACTAAGCCAGAAGCTAAAAGATCTTCACTAATGAGCTGTAAGATCTTGAAATGCTGGCGCTCCTCCCACCCCACCCTTTTAGTTGAGAAAGTAAAAATAAAAAATATCCACGTTGTTGAGAGAATTTCAAACGGAGCTTGGCATACATTAGTGCCCATGAAATTGAATGTTACGGGTTTGTTGTCTTTCTCCTGTTTTCTTTTGACACAGGAGACTTATATTGTAAGACTGTAGCTGAAGCAGGGAAGCCGGCGCTCCTCTGGGACGGTTCAATTATAAAACTTGTTTGCATTTAACTGAAGACTTCCCCGCCCGCCCGCCCGCTCACCTCCACACAATAACACGACCTTGTGTTACACTTGAGAACACGCACACTCCCACCTCCCAATCGTCCCGCCCTCTTTCTGCTCCCCGCAAGCTCAGGACCTCATTCATACTAGGAAAAGTGTGCCTGCGCTGTCCTACATTCCCAGCCTCTCAGCTTTTTCATGGGTCTTCCAATCCCTGACTACAATGCCACCCGCCCCTCCAATGACCGCGGTTTTCTGAAGCCTGTGAAGGGTCATTACTATTCGGGTTCTCACTGGGGGAAAGAACACATCAAAATCATCCAAGGAATGTGCTTTCCTCCCTAGTCCTCAGTGTCCCGTCTATACAGTGGGGGTGGGGGGAGGGAGGAAGAAGGAGGAGGAGGAGGGGGAGGAGGGGGAGGAGGGGGAGGAGGAGGAGAAGGGGGAGGAGGACTACAACGACGACCTTCCCCGTGCTCTACCTACAGCCCTGGAAACTGCCAGTCCTCTGCTGCTCTGGCAGTTTACTGGGCATGCCAGCACTGCAGCATTAAATTCAGGCACCCAAGTCACCTGAGTACCAAGCCTTTGACTGGCAGCTCCCCCTCTGTGGCACACTCTCCACATTCCAACCCTTTGACTGGTCTCACCCAACACTAGAAATCTCCTGGCTTCATTCCATAGTCTTGGTCCCTCCCTCTCTGCACGGAGTCCCTTCTTCAACCCCCCCCCCCCCAATGCAGCAAAGCCATTCAGGCAGAGACCCTCAAGTTCTGCAGTGTGAATTCCCCAATTCATCAAACACCCCCAGCCTCCTAAAAAAAAAAAAAAGAACCAAACCAGCATCCTCCCAGAGGATAAACGGAGACCCCCCAGTAAAGGGAAACTGTCCACATTATTTCGATACAGTCAGGCCTAGCTGTCCAGTCAAGGGCAGCCTGATGAAACCATTAAGATTTTGTTCTTTGTATTAAGGCTGTTGCATTTCCCAGGCACATGGCCTAAGCGCCAGCCCTGGACAGGTGACAATGACCGTTCTTTAGTCTAATGAAGAACTGAAGAAGCCGTGTGCCGCCTTCCCGTTTTAGACACACACTTTGCGAGGAGTACGGTTCAGAGAAAAATGTCTGCGTTCTAAAACCTAGCAGGATCCCTGACAAAAGCTGAAGTATATACTTATATACTTTATAAAAGCATTTCTACTTATATATACTACATATAAAATTTCTAACTACGACAGCTCTTCAGGCACCAAGCTCTGCATCCCTCTGATGGGGTTGGAGGAAGCAGAGTCCGGATCCAGCCCATTTTACAGGAGGGAAAGCTGAGACCCTGGCAAGGGAAAGAGATCTCTGTGCTGATCTGCCTGCCCTCTTCCCACCCCAGCGCCGCTGCAAGCATCCAGAGGCCCCACAGAGCGGCGCACTTACGTCCAGCTCAAAGGTTCGCAGCACAGTGCGGTAGCCCCCGGACACAGGTGGTAGGAGGCGAAGCACCTCCTTGACTACGCAATCGACGTAGCGCAGTCGGCCCAGGGCCGCCAGGCTAAGGTCCGGCTCACAGCTGCAGTCGGGTCGGGGCCCTGTGGCCAGGGGTGCGCAGCCGCACGCGTGCCCCAGCCCCTGCGCTGACAGCTCCTGCTGGATCTTGGCGACGGCCGCCGGGTGCTGCAGAAGCAGCAGAATGAGCGACGTGCTGGCGCTGGCTGTAGTGAAGAAGGCCGTGAAGAGGAGCTCCACAGCTGACTCCTGCAAGACAGCCCGGCGGTTCTGAACGTGCCGTGAAAAGCGTCCAAACTTATCTCTGTGCAATGTCCTGCCCTGGCGGCTATGCTCACTTGCTCTGAAATTGGTCAAAACTCACTTAGGAAAGTCGTGTTGAACAATAGGCAGCCCAGCATCTGCACACACCCGCTTTGAACGAGCTTTCAGAGACCATACAGAGATATTATTCTGTACATTATTTTAGTGCTTTAAATGCAATTACTCGTTAGATTCTCACCTTCACCCCGTGGGGAGCAATTACTGCTCTTACTTTATGAAGTTGGAAATTGAGACTCTGGGAAGTGCTCTAAGACCCTAGAGTTAGTAGTTCCAGTAGTGAGAGTCTCTCTCTCCCTCCCCCCACTCTCCCTGTCCTTCTACACACACACACACACACACACACACACACACACACGCATTCACAGCATGCTTCAGACAAGGCACCTGCAGCCCAGCACCAGTCTTGCTCCAAAGTCAGGAAGCTTACTTTTCGGCCCTGCTCTGCTGAGGCCATTCTGCAGACCCCTACCACCTGCCCAAATGCCCTTCCAGTGCTTTCTTCATGTGTTTGCATGCTGTTTTCAGTGACCGGAAGGTGAGTGTATACCACCCACGCAGCACGCCCTCGGCATCCCAGCACAGAATCTGGCATTGAACAGGTACACAGGAATCTTTGTGGAGTGAAATCTGACCTGGCTGGAGACCAACTGCTTGGACAAAATGAAGCTGGGATGGAGACTCTGATCCAGACATCCTCCCTGCCCACCTTGACTCCCTTCTATGGGGTCTCGCTACTACTCCCTAGCTCTGCCAAAGTGGAACTGCCCACTTCTGCCCATGCTACTTCCCTTCACAGGCCAGCATTGTCTCAGGCACTCTACTCCCCAGGACTCAAAGTTCCTTGAACCCTTGTGCGAAGGGCCCAAGAGGAGAGACAACTGTACCCAGAACCCATAAGGCCAGGTTTGGGTTTTGATGCTGCTCGGAAGCATGGCAGATGCTGGCAGTCACGACTGGAACCCAGGACCCTTCTTTTTCACCCTGAGGTGTGTCTGCGCCTCCAAACAGGGTTAAACAGGACTTGACTGGGAATGGATTAGGTGTGGAGGGATCTCTGGGGAAGGAAAGTGGGGGAGGGAGGAGTGGTCTATCACCTACCTTCAACTCTTGCACAGAGAGCTCATGGCCCAGCTCCCTAGCGCTGTTAATGATCAGGTGCAGGGCATCACCTGGCTCTGCTGCTTGCTCCTTATGAAGCTTCTGAGCAATCGCCTCATCCAAGTGCTGATATAACTGGTCCCTGGCCCGGATGCCCTGATGTATAGGGAGAGAGGGAAGATGGGGTAGGAAGGATCAAGGGGTAGACTTGGCTACCTAGATTCATCTAGATCCTGATGTTAGTCTCAGCTTAGCTACACACACATAGCACTAGGTAGGCATGGCTCAAGAAATGGTCATAGATTTGTTCACTGTCTATAAATATTACTCTGTCTTGATAACCATCACCAGCCTCCTCTGGCAAGGCAGTTAATGTCACACAAAGCACTGAGAGGTTCCCTCACACAGCGGCCAGCGCCCATGCCTGGCACAGAGCCATCAAGGTGCACTTAGCTATTACCCTTTCCCTGTATTCAGGTAAGGCAGTGAGAATCAGTGCTAAGAAGAAACTCCATTGAGGACACTATTGTATATTCTAAACACTAGCTTCCGTCAGGGGTTTGAGCAAAGGGGGCGGGGATGGCTCTCCAGAGTCCAGGAAGCAAGCCCAGTCAAAACATCCTGAAAGCCAGCACTTGAGTTTTGTAGCCAGAAGTGTCTTGTTCAAATCTTGACTGTGTTCTTGCTTGTCACATGACTTCAAGGAGACCTGCTTGTCAATAGAATGAGAATAACACTTCGTAGGTCGCAGGGACTAAGCTAGAAAAGGCATGCAAGGTAACCAGCACACAACAAGATTCTTTCACAGATTATTGTTTTTATTCCAGCGACTGACTGCTCCAGGGCAGAGGGAGGGAGAAGGCTTCCTTCAGTTCCCGGGCCCCGCCCATCACTCAGAAAAATCCTCTGAAACCATCAGGCCCAGGTACACCCATTCCCTAGACCAGACCCAGCGCTGGCCTTCATCTGCCACTGTCCGGCTCCCGCAACGTTCTGCAGTGCCAACCTTCCAAAGGGTGCTGAAGATTCGGCGCCACTTAGAGAAAGCGCGAAACCCCTGCCTGGTTGCCTACCACTAAGACCGAAACTCAAGAAGACTGCACGGCCGCCAGAGTGTGAATCAGGAGCATCCCATCGATGCCTACCCGTGTCACACGGAATCCGAAAACATACAGCCACCACACCACCCTACTCCGAGACATGCGCTCGGTCCGGGGTACCCAGTCTGGTTTGGGAGAGCCTCTGGAGCCATGGGCTAAGGTCTGGGGCAGCATTACCTTGCGCAGGCCACTGAAAGGCACGTCCAGGGGCAGTGAGAAGAGGTTCTCCACTAGCTGCTCAAAGGTCTGGGCCAGCTCGGTGCATCGCGCTTCGTCCAGCTGCAGACCCAGGAGGATGCGCGCGGCCATGCGGAAGATGAGCGCTTTGGCCGCCCCGTAGACAGCTACCGGTCCTCGGGCTGCGCACCAGGAGCGCACCTCTCGCCGCAGCGCCCCCTGCAGCCGTGGCACGAATTGCTCCAGAGCCGGACGGCTGAACACGCGCGCTAGGACCTGCAGGGAGCGCAGATGAGCGAGCGCAGGGCAAGCTGGCCTCTTGTGCTCCACGACTCCGCAGCCTGAAGGCAAAGTCCAGTCCCTTCTTCCTCTTCTGAGCCGCACAGACCTAAACTTGCTGGCTTAGTTCCCTCCACTTTGATGTAAGGAGTCCCTCCTATCCATCTAGGCTCCAAATGTTAGCCGCTCCACAAAGTCTTCCCTGAACCCACTTAAATCTGAAGCTCCAAAGTTGCTAGCACCTGTCACAGAAGATCTGGAATAAAGGATTTGTAGCCCTGCCCTGGCTTTATTACTCAAAACCCGGAAATGTAAGGAGACTTGCCTCGGGGCACCTGTTCCTTTAGCAGGGACCCTAGTCAAGTTCTGAGTATACCCGACACCAGGCTACCGCGGAAACCCAGGCACCATGGGTGGATCGATCTTAAGTTTCTTTGGTTTTCCCCTCACCTTACGCCGTTGCCGATGGGGCTCGCCAACCGCGCCGAGGAGTGTGTGTGAACCTAGCAGAATGTGCGCACTCTGCGGCCACTGGCTACGCACCAGGCGGTGCTCGCCCAGCAAGATGGTGCGCACGTTTTCCGCGCCGCTCACACGGATCACTGGCCTGCCCAGAAGGTGCGTCTTAAACACTGTCCCGTAGCGTTCGCGGCGGGAACTGTGGAAACGAGAGCCCTGCAAGCAAGGCGGAGCTTGAAGGGCTGCTGGGTCAGCAGGGCTGAAGATTTGTCCCAGATATCCCAACTGCCTCTTCCTAACAACTCTCCTGTCCCAGGCTGTCACACATTACTTACAAAACGAGATTCCAAACGGACCTCTCAGGCCCTCTATGGGAATGTAGACGCCCACTGGTAAAATGAGATAGGGGCTTAGATTGGGAATATGGGTGCCTAAGGGTGCATGCATGGCTGAGATACGGCTCCGCTTTTCAGTCTGTACTTGCAGGGTAGGTACTACGTTCGTTCTTCAAGTCCCTCCCTAGGCCCCTAGTTTACACCCATGTTTTATCAGAAGTGCGCTTAGAACTTCGGTGACATGGCGTCTCTTAGAAGGAACAGAGTAGCTAAGCAATGGTGAGGGTTTCAGAAATCCTGGGCAAGGGTCTTCTTAGGAAGTGCACCGAGAACCAAGAGCTTCCGACAGGAGATGCAGAAGGGGCATTGCTGAACGATAGAACTACTCACCTGAACCAACCAGTGCAGCGTTTCACCGAAGAATGGCCAGCCCATGGAGCCCTTGGGTAGGGGCAAGGCTGAGGCCCGATCCCGGCTTAGCGTCCAGCGGAGGGTCCACAGGTGCTGGGCCAGGCCAAGCAGCAGACCGGCACACAGGACAGCGGTGCCCGTAGCCCCCAGCATGGATAAACAGCTCAACCCCCAAGAAAACATGGCAAGCCTGCGGGGGTTGGGGACGGCTGGGAGGGCCGAGGGCTCAAGAACTATGCAGAACTCACCTATGCAGTCTAGAAAAGTCCCAGAGATTAATAAATTCAGGCAAGGCTTCTGCTCTTTAAACAAGACTGTCAGTGACCCTGAGCGCTTAGAGAATGCTCCTCCCTCAACGCTGGAGGCCCAGGACATCTCCCCCACTGCAGTCAAGAAGTGCCAGCCCCTTCGTGGTGGGCCGTTTGCCTCCGGAATGCCCCTACACTCTCGGATTAGTCGATCAGCGCTTCTGGTATAAAGCTGTGAGAGAGGCGGAGAGAAACAACTCACCATCACTGTTGGGATTCCCGGGGCTGCAGACCCCCCGACGACCACCTTCTCTCCTTCACTCCCTTAACACCTCTCCGTCTACCTTTGACATATTTATATAGATACTGCCTCCCTACCTCTGGACTGGCCCTGGGTCAAGCAACGTGACATGCCTATGCATATTTAAAGTTTCCCACTCAGACTAAAGATTGGAAGCAGTGGGCAGTGGCAAGCTCACCTCGATATCCAAATAGGGAGTGGCATCCGGGCGGGGGCTGGGTCCCAATGTGCATCCTTGGGCGGGGCCTGAGGTTTTGCCCTGTAACTTCCCTGCTCTTGGTGAGGGCAAGAACCCAGCCGCGTGAGAAGTCCACATGAAGTAGACACTGCGCGCAAGACCACGCTCTTGACCCACCCGTCTCCGAGCCATTAGCTTCCTCTCTGGTCCCCCACCCTCGAGCCTCGAAACCCCTTCTGTTCACCACGTCAAGGGCCAAAAGGCTAGAGTTGCTTCCCTTTGCTTGGCCTCCTTCAGGGAAAACGGGTTGTGATCCCAGCGTTCCAAAAGCACAGCTAGGGCCCAGTTGTCTGACCCTCTACCGGCTCCAAGTTCTCCAATCAGCCACTTCAGGGAACCTTCAGGAGATGGTCATTTCACTGCTCCTAAAATTTACAGGGGCACCCAAAATCCTCCTGAAGCCCTTATCCTGGGCACAGCTCTGGTCTCAGGACCAAACCAAATTCTCTAGCTTTTTTTTTTCATTACATTGCCCATCTCTGGAGTCGGAGAGATGCCCTCCCCCCCCCCCCCGCCGCTGCCCCCCAACCAGCTTGCATCTTGGGCTTTCTGCCCCATTCAGGGCAGCAATGCCTTTAGGCCTACCCGCTGGCTAACAATACAATCTGGGTGTGGGAGGGATGGGGGTGGAAAGGGGAGTGCCTTGTGTTTTGGAAAGAGTACAGAGGAGGGGGGGTGAGTGCTGGGGGTGGGGATGTGGAGGTTCCTCTCTCCGAATCTTCCCAGGAGTCTTCCCAAGTACCCTGAGAGTGAGGGGCATCTTCAGAGTTCCCTGCTACCACACCTAATGTATAGAATGCATTGTGTCTGAAGAATTATCGTATTTTCCTCTAAAAGTTTTAAAATATTAAATACTTTGAGTGTTTTGTCAAGAGAACAAAGATGTTTTGTTTTGTGTCATGCGCATTCTGATAATTAGGGAATAAATAGGCCTTTTCTGGAGGTGGCCGTTTAAAACGAGAAGCTCTGGAATATCTGAAATAGCATCTTCAACAACTCCCAACCTTTTTAATGTTCAACACGAAATCCAGATGTAAGCAGAGCTCATCATACTTATTTTACAGAGTCAGGAGTCTACAGGCATAAATCCGGAAAACGCAAAGGGTATTTTCAGCATAATTACAGTGCAGAGAAAACAAAGGTCAGGTTTACATCGCCATTTGTGTCACTGATTTATCCAGAGAAAGATGTACATTTGCTGTAGGCTTCAGAGTTCAGTTGGTCTGCATTGTTTCCACAGTCCACAGCACTGAGATGACTATCTGAAGCGCGTTCACCTGAACCTGTGGTGACTCCATTATGTAGGAGGAACACATCCACACTAGGACCGCCACACCTGATGTAAACAGCCCCTTGACTGCCTTCTCTTTAACTTAAACCAAACTAAAACTTTAACAAGGGGTCAGCTACAAGAAATATTACATCTTTAGGAAATCCAACCCCTTTTCTTCATTTTCAGAATGATTAAGCTATCCAAATATAACAAACAATTTACATTCCTGGTGAGCTGTGTTTGATTTCAGGAACTTTCAAGATTTTTATATTTCCTCCTCAGAATCAGCAGAATGAAAAATTTGAGGCACATGAGTCAAGTTGAAGTGAAAATAAAAGCTAAAAGTACAACAATGACAGCCAAATATTTCCTTCTCAGCAGTGGCTGTGTCCCAAACTATAATGGCATACAGGAGCTCTTTCCAGCTTCAAGGGAAGAAGGAATACTTAACAAGCAGAGACACGAGCTTTCCTAATATTTACAATCACTTTCATATACAATTTATTGGATTTATATATTACACTTTTGACTTTTCCTCTTCATTGAAAAAATTAATCTTACATTTTATATATAAAATAGTATTCAATTATTTAAAAATCCATACAAATGATGTTTGTTACCACTACTTGTTTAAGCCCTCAGCAGTGTATTTGCTCTACTGTAGTTTTTGACTTCTGTAAACAAATTGTCTCATGACCAGTGCTGGCCACAGAGAAGCTCTCATGGACCTGATGTGTCTACATGTGCTGGGACATCCCAGTCACCAAGCCTCTAAGCTGCTTCACGACTGTCTCTATCAGCTTCTGCCTGTCTCGGTCGTTCTTCCGGAACTGGGCGAATATATTATTCTTCTTGCTGGTGTCCTTCATCCTACAATATACAAACATAAATGCTGAAAAGGAAAAGCTCCTTCCTTCCTTTCCTTCCTTCCTTCCTTCCTTCCTTCCTTCCTTCCTTCCTTCCTGCCTGCCTCCCTCCCTCCCTCCCTCCCTCCCTCCCTCCCTCCCTCCCTCCCTCCAAGTGCTCTCACTTATCCAATACCAACTGTGTGCTTGAAATGAAAATTGGTGCCATCAAATGTACAAATACAGAAAACACTTGGAGACAGGGAGAAAGTCATGACCTTGCACTAGCATACAAAGCTAAGATATGCACATTGTTTTCTGACATCACACCAAAAGACTTATTAGAAGACCCTGTGTGGGCTCTACTACACATTCACAGCAAGACCACGTGAGAGTGAAAACGGCATGAGAAAAATTTAAATGTAATTTTTTTTGCTTCAGCAGCATTTCAGGACATTATAAAATCAATTTATAAATTTTGTGAATAGTTTCTTATATCCTTTCAAATCAAATAACCACAGCTATATTTGAAATTTGGGAAAGCAATGGACAATGTAACATAAAACCACACTTCAATAGTTATACTTTAAACAGATATGACCGAGTGAAGGAAAAGTCGGCCACACGATGAGGGAAAAGAGCACTGTGTTCAGCTGGGGCAGCGAACCCCACTGTCTCCCTCCTTACAGCATCGTTTTCTCAAACCTCGTGTTTCTCCACCTGCACAGAATCCAAGCCTGAGATACTGCTGAGGCGAACATTCCATTTCTTGGCCCTGTTCTACTTTATTTTTAAGTAGCTCCGATTCTTGTGTCTTCACGTAAACCCTGTTCTCTCCATTTGCGGGGAGGGACTCAGGCACAAGCACAGTGCAGTCAAGGGCTGTGCTAAACATTCTAGGCTTCCATTAACACATTCATAAAGTAACACATTCATAAAGCAAACTGAGCCTGAGATTTTCAAGATACATTAGGAAAAAACAAGTTCTTCCTCACATATGTAGCCAAAATAACCCTGAAAGGCAAGAAAGAGACTTATCTTTGGTTCATCATAACGGACTGAATTTCTCTCCTTCCCTCCCATCTCTGCTCCAGATTTCACACCCTATACTCACTAAAATCTCAGCTCTCTCAAACCCACGATCCCCCTGCTTCAGGGCCGGCACAATGCCATCACATCTAGCTGTACTTTTAAAACTCCACTAGACATTTCTCTTTTCAGAGAAATCTCTATTCTTTATCACTGAATCGAACCTTGTGTAAATGCTACCTAAAATAAAAGCCAAAACAATTTTGAGACCATACTCACTTCTCCAAGAGAGTAAGGGCTGTGTGTGGGTTCACACGGAGGTACTTGGAGGCTGGCTGTCCATAGTCAGCGAGGTAAGTGGACCAGTCCCAAACCATAAACAAGTCAAGGAGCTGAGGAAGAAAACATGTCAGCCTTTGGATATCTACTCACACATAAATCAGGAATATGTTACTCGTTCCTCTCCACATGGTTTGCTTTCTACGATAAAATAAGGAAATTCATTTTAAGAACATAACCAGTATACTTCAAACCAAAATCATATTCATTATTTTTTATTTTGGAATTGCTAAAAATCATCAGTGGCTGTTGTCCTATCGACTAACGACATCTCCATATGATTGTATGGAACACTCTCACAATCACATTAGCACCTGTACTATTATTTAAAGTTGTTAACTTTGTACACTACCCACAACGCAGGTGGAAAGGCTCGTGCCACTAACTGTGCACAGAATCAGACAGCAGAAGTATGTTTACCTTTCACAGAAGCCATTTGCAGCCAGATTTTCCTAAAGTAATTGAAAACAAAAGCTCAGATAATCTCAACGAAGTGCATTAAACACCCTCTGCTGCATTCTCCTCAGTGACAGAGCTCAGTATAATGATGAGCCCGGGCTTCAGGATTCGCCTGTTAACTTTAGCCAACCATTTTGTGTAAACAAACAACAACAAAAGACATCCTTTGTTTTCCACACTGTCTCAAAACTGGCTATTTGCTTTATAATCTCCATTTAGAATCACTGTCAAATATTGTTATAATCTTTTAAAAGCAATGCCAGGCCTAACCCAAAGCATCTAGCTCCTTACTCACCTTTAAAGCCCTAATCCCCTTAAGCCATTTAAAGTCAACTTCCTGTTCCTTCCCCGTTTGAATTGTTTCAGAAAGCTAGATGCTTCACTCACTATTTCCTCCGTTTTTATATTCTTTTTAAAAACATACTTCATAAATAGGGGCTCTCTTGGTTTTACTTTCACATGAAGGACGCATTTTATGGGACCAGCAACTCTAAAAGGAATAAAAACTTTTAAGGTGATTAAAGCCACCAAAAGAATGATTAGGAGAAACCAACTTTTTCTTGGGAAGGTGAGGGACTATTTGACACTTCTTTTTCCTCCATTAATTTACAAGTGTCAACAGACTCTTGTAAAAGACAGAAAGTTCACAATAATGAAAATATTAATGACTAATGGTGACTCTGTTTATTTTCAGACAAGAGAATGTTCTAGACCATCACTGAAATTAAAACACTGTTGTTATAGAAACTCTAATGAAACAATAGAAAAAAGATACTGCCTGACAATGGAAAGACAACATGTGCATAATTTTTTCGTGTTGCTTGGTAACATATTTTTCCCAAAGAATATTAATTTCATATACTCAGATGATTATACTGTGATTGATATGCAATCATTCTGTAATGCGTTTAATTAAGAACCATAAAACTGTGATCTTCTTGGAATTGGTAATAATACTTATAAGTGAAGAAATTTTAGAAAAAATAATAAAGGTGGACAAAAGTTATGCACAAAGATAGTAATTTCCAACATTTTATTAGGTTACAGAAAAAATTAAAACAGTCTAAATCTCAATATCAAGAAACTTGTGCCTAGTGTACAGGAGGTCTAGATTCAATGCCTAGCATTACCACAGGGGAAAAAAAAAGATAAACTGATAAAACAGGAAGGTAGAACTTAACAATGACCATCACATGTTTAATAGAATCATTTACATAGGATTTAAATGGCTTAGGAAGATGGTTATGATGTACACTGCTACTTAATTACAGAAAACCCCACAAATGGAAGAATGATGTTACTTTTACGGTGGGATTACAAGTAACTTTTTTTCTTTATTGTCATAATATTCTGCAGTGAACATGCTTTAATGCTAGAATTAAAAATAGCATTTATGGGCTAGAGAGAGAGAGAGATGGCTCAGTGGTTAAGAGCACTGGCTGCTCTTCCACAGGTCCTGAGTTCAATTCCCAGAAACCTCATGGTGGCTCACAAACATCTGTAGTGAGATCTGGTGCCCTCTTCTGGTTTGCAGGCATACATGCAGAAAGAATGCTGTATATATAATACATAAATAAATCTTTAAAAAATAGCATTTATGTATCTGTTAACATATTATACTCCATTAACAGTCTTCTCCATAGTTGTCAGCAACAACCTCACTGGGAAGGCTGCTCTCTCTGGTCTATTTGCGACTCTACATGTGAATGCGGTCATTCACAGTCTGCAGAAAGTAACCACTATACACTGGCTGTAACATCCCTTTCTTCAATGGCATTAGCAAGAGACCTTAGGAGATGGAAGGCTGTAAATGAAGCTTCTTTTCTTTTAGGCTAAACCACCACCTCCAGGTGGGGAAGAAAGAACCTATCTACTAAACCAACTAGAACTGAGAAGGCGCGTGGCCCTTCTCCAGCAGAGAAGTCCTTCCTAAGTAGAAATACTATGCTTACAATCTGACACATGACCAGACATCATACGCAGATACTCACTGCAAATCACTAGAGGTTATAGGAAGTACAAAATTTAATGTACCTACCAGATTCTAATCTATATACTTCACATCAACGTTAAATACTTTTAAAATATGTTTCATGTGTAACTCATGGATATTTATGGAAACCTGTGTGTTAAAGTTTAAGGAATTCAACACCAGTGCTACATATCTAGATAAAATTTACTTAATCATTCAACTAATGTTTATGGCCCACCTACAATGTGCTATATACCATATTATGCACCAGAAGACAGTATAGAAACTAGACACTGTCCCTTTTCTCAAGGAATGTACATTATTAAGTGGTGATAAATTAACAAAGAAACAAGTTATATCTTGATGCTGACATGAAGAAATTATTTTTAAAAGCACTGTCCACACAACTCCTAGTATTTGAACTCTAATAACACAGGAGGAAGCTATTGTCAGCTTAGTATGTAGAAGGGTGGACAACCACAATTGCCTGCTACTCTCTTGCCTGTCACTCTTGGTCCCTGAATACATGGCTGTCCATGGGAGCGCCACTTCAGTATCTCGCTTAAAGAATGATGGCGGTGGACACGGACTTTTCAAACCCATAATGCTGCTGGACTAACTACATACAAAAAACAAAAACGAGAAACCTCGACAATGCTGGCAGCTAGCTTTCCTCCATCATCTCCCAGGCTTTCACTGGGCCACTGATAGAGAAGGTGTGTTCTCTCATGGTCTCAGCAGACCAGTAGGCATAATAATTGAGAAAAGGATCTTCCACAAGAAAACAGTTGTAATATTCTGAAGGGTTTACCAATGATGTCATCCCCAACAACCAAGTCCTTTTTTACCTTTCTGTTTTGTTTTTTAAGACATCATCTCAACATGTACTTTGGCTGGCCTGAAACCTGCTATGTAGATCAGTCTGGCCTGGAGTAGTCAACCCACCTCTGCCCCCTGAGTTCTGGGATTAAGGGCCTTGCCCCAGCAGGCCTGGTCCTTTTAAAGTATAGCTCTACTGAAATGAAAGGATAACAAGACCAGGGCTTTATTCCAGAGCCCCATAGGTCTCCACGCCGGCTGCTCTGACTGGAACAGCATAACCCCTGGTGCACCGAGGATGCCTAGAAAGGTGTAACTGCCCTACTGTCAGGATGGGATGGAGAGGCAAGGGAGGAGGAGTACTTAACACCAGTACTCACTTCACTCCACACCCGCCACTGCCTTGGGGGCCCACCTCTCTGAGTTGTCCAGGTATCACAAGATGCTGCATTTTTAATAGTAAGACACCCCCCACCACAGAAAACATCACTTTTTCAAGTTTTGCTTCCTTTGGATAGCAGTACATAAACATTTCTAGTAATCACATAACATGCTTTAGTCTTGTTAAAAAAAGAAAAAGACATGGTCTCAACAGGTGAATTTACTAGTTAACACGGATACACAGAGTTCAAAGATATAGATGAAACATGAACAAAAACATCACCACATTATCCCAAAGCCACTTCACGAATGCTGATTAAAGGATAAGGCAGGGCATGTGACAATGAGAATCGGTACTAGGTTCTTAGTGGGTTTGTTCCAATAGTCAAGTAAAATGAATCTCCAAGTCTTTTGAGGAAATAATCAAAATATGGACCACACAAAAGCAAGCAGCAAACAGTGTCTCAGCTCCATCTCATCGCAGCCTAAAAGGATCACCTGAAATTAGTGTCCCTCTTTCAGTGAGGACTCAGTCAACCTCCAGAACAACTGCTGACACATCAGGTGGGTTTATGCCAGTATCTGTGAATAAATTCTAAGTTTTACTTCCTTAGTTCGTGTTGTATGTCCAGATAATGAAAAGGTCAGCTCAAGAAATGAAATAGTTTCATGGGTGGTCTCATTTATATGCTCTAGACAGTTGAACCACTTCAGAACCACTGAGGAATTCCGTCATGCGATCCAACCAGCTGGCTGACAGTTTCCATCCTATATACTGGTTCCCAATCTAGATTTTTGGGATCTCAAACCTGTGGAGATCACTTTGTGCAAATGTAGGCAGACTTAAAGCCATCCTTTTGAGTTCTTAAGGGTGCCTTTTTGCTTTTGTAAAACTGAATCCACAGTGCCGGGTCATTTTTCCTTGAATCTGGTTTAGTTTTGTTTTGGGTCTTTGGGATTTTGCTTTTGAAGCACCTCAGGGGCAGTGACCCAAGGCAGAAGATAAATAGAGCCAAGCCAACCTCAAGAGAGAAGCAACTGGGGACACCAGGTTTGCTTTGTGAACAGTGACCGGGGGGCTCAGGGGCAACCTTAGTCCCCCAAGTTCCCTTTTCCAAACACTAAATCCACCTGGGACTTGAGGGTCACTCAGCAAATTCCAAAAGTAAACCAGAAGATCATTTTTCCTTCGCCTTCAAGAAACAGGGCTGACGTAAGGTTCCTAGTGCGCTTCAGAGACTTAACAACAACAAAACTCTTAAGCCCCATACAACGCAGAGGCCGAAACACTTGCCCTTCAAACAAATCCTCCGTAATGGGCTCCTGGGAATTCAAAGGTCTTATTGACCCTTCCTCAGAATACTTGTCTTTTCTAGATAATGGCATCAAATGAGCGCCATCTGCCTTCTCAAGCGCTAGACT